TGACCTTCAAAGTTCCCACCAAAATTGATCTTTTTTAAAAGTCTGTGTTGAAATTTCTAATTGGACTCCATGGTGTCAAATACCCTTTTAATAATTTACCTTTTTAGATATCTTATGCCTTCAGATGTACATAACTATGAATCCCAGAATACTAAACTATCATTTCAGCATTGCCGTTGGGTCTAATCGAGAAGTGTGCCGGAGTACAAAGAATCCCCCCCCCCCAAGATAGCATGAGTTGGTTCTCTACTGCTCAAACAGACCCTTTGGTATACCTACAAGGCTTTTGATAGGTATACCACTTATTTGGTAGAGCTTTGTTCCATTAACATGTGGACAATTCCTATCTAGTTAACTTTTTTTTTAGCAAGGCTTAGTATAATTCCGTCTGTATATTGTGTAATAAGCTTACTACTTCGTTGGAAATATTCACGTCCAGAAATAATGCAGTAGAGAAGATGAAAAACAAATCTGTCTAAAGGTTTGGAAAAATTTTGGGAATATGTCTGAGGAACTGTCTTCTCATTTTGCAGGGCACATTCTGCTTCTAGCAGTGAGGTTCACAAGCATCATAGATCCCAAACTTTACCAATAATCCGTGGGAAAAATGCCCTTTCCAATCATAAACTCCTACAGATGATAGATAGTACCATTCCAAGTAAGTATAAAGTATGATTTTGTAGTTGAACTTTTAATGGGACAATGGTGGTACTTAATGAAATAACATTCTCAATTCAATGTTATGTAAATAATGTGAGAGAATAATAGCCATTATTTTTTGTTGTATCATTGTTCAGTTTTATGTATATACAGCGAAACATTTACCAGGTCTCAATATCTATAGAAAAGTCATGTTTTCCTAGATTGTGTTGTGTATTTTTGTGAATTTTATGCTTTTGCATATACATAAATATTTTTATGATATCATCCATGTTCTTGTCATTTATGCTTGTTCAGTTGTTATGGAACATTAAGAGTGAGGGCCAGCTGTTGTATATTATTAAGACAATTTCACTCTATCATTTTTAGCATAAAAAATAGACATCATGTAGTTCTCACATGTTTACTTATTACCATAAATTATTTCTACTGCACGTAATTTATAAAATGATAAAAAAAATAGGTTGATTAATTAGCATCCTATTGTTTATTGATAACCATGTGCATTAATTCATTGAAATGTGAGCAATCAGTAGACTTCATAACTGAATGCAGTCAGAAAACCAGAAGATATGCATAGGTTTGCACTGTCAATGCTATAAATAGATTCTCTAGCCCTGCTAAACTACGTAGCAAAAATTACAATAAACATGTACGCAATAACTGAGCAATTGTGGGCCCAGGGAGATATTCTTTGACATATGCAAATACCTTTCATCATTCTTAAGTATGCAAAAATATATTTAAAAAAGACAAGTTTATAAGAAAGAATAAACATAAGTAGGTTAATTATTTTTAAAATAAATATCATAAAATATTTTTGTGTACAATTTATTCAGAATTAGAATTTGGTATATAGTTTAGATACATATATTTATTTACTATTTGTACCCTGAGTTTTCAATCCTAAAACACTTACAAGCCCTGACAAAATTTATTTATTTATTTATTTGCTTAATTTGTATAGCCAAATCATCTAATTTTTTTTAGAATCTTACAACCAGAACAAAAATGTAAAATTGTATCAAGTGAGTGCACTGTCTGTTGCAAGATCTTTTTATTCCTCAAATTAATGTTATATTTTTCAAAGAATTCATTTCTTTGAAATTTTGAAGAAGGGATATGGATGTGAAATATCTATCCAAAACCAAAGCAGAAAAGTAAGATAAGATAAGATAAGATAACCTTTATTGTCATTTTTATACTGTGGGCACAATGGCACACATCAAAAATGAAATTTAGTTGCCCGCTCTCAAAGTAAAACACATACATGACACACACCTAAACATACTATGTACAACATATGTATAGACTCAGCCCCCTACATATACATAACAAATAAATATTAAATACTGTCCATCTTAAATATATAACGTAAGGAGGAGGCTTGAGAGTTTACAAGGTTAATGCTATATGGAATGAAACTATAGCTGAATCTAGATGTTCTGCTGCGGATACTACGAAGCCTCCTCCCAGAAGGTAACAAGGAAAACAGGTCATGAAGAGGACGTGTAGTGTCCCAGATAATCTTACGGACCCTGCTCAAGCAGTGCTTCTGTGCTATGTCCTGGGTGGGAGGGAGGGAACTGCCAATTATCTTTTCGGTCATTCTCACCAGTGCATTTCGTCTAGAGACAAGTATATTATGATTTATTTGAGCATGTTTTATAAAATAAAAAAAAATCTTTATAGAAATATTGAAACCAAATATTGAAATCCAATAGCAATTTCAGAGTAAAACTTGCTAAGAAAGTCTAATTTTATGTAGAAGCATATTTAGAGAGATGATAGTTCATCAGTGACTATTGTCATTTGTAGATGACTATAAAATTTTTCTGTAATGTTTCTTTGGTTGTAGGTGCCTCTAATGAAACAGATCTTGTGAGTTATGTAGATACGGAAGCCAACACGGCAACAGAAGTTTGCCTTTCTATACTCGATCTGTTATGTCTTTTCACTGAGCATCATCAGGTAACATTTTTCTGTGTGAAACTTTTTACATGAAAGTCACAATGTCTATAATTTATGCTGAGCTGTTATTTTATGGAAGCAGAGAATCAACAAGTGAAATGTTTCATATATGTAGACAGCTTATAATTGAAGCTTTCAAAATCTGATAAAGAGTACAGAGTCACTTCGCTGGTCCATTTAACCTGGCACTGCCAAACATGTTTTACTACAGTTTCTAATATACCTATGCCATGGTATCAGTTGCCCTTTTATAGAATGATTTAGTACAGGGGTCCTCAACCTTGGCAACTTTAAGACTTGTGGACTTCAACTCCCAGAATTCCTCAGCCAGCAAAGCCAAGGTTGAGGATCCCTGATTTAGTATACCAGGTTGAGAATGCTGTAGCATAGTTTTTCAGTACTGCAGACCAAATACTTTCTTAGCCTTTTTAGGATTTGCTTAGAATTGAAACTAAGGCCATCTATTTCCAAACTATGTGCTTTCCTACTAAGCTGTAAAACTTAGGGAAATATCTTGTAGTGCTGGATAAAAGAGTTCCTAAATCACCACCACCCACCATTATCATCATCACCAAAATAATAATGAAGCTTTGGCAGAAGAGAGAAAGATGGTCTGAGGCAAAAACAAAACTATTCTAAGAAACTTTGAGAAATTTAACTAATATTAAAAATGTTAAAAATGCCTGCTCATATTTGGAAAAAAAAGAAAAGAAGAAAAGAAGAAAAAAAGAAAAGGCAGGGGAGGGAGGGGAGAGGAGAGGAGGGAAAAAAATAAAAGATCCCAACAGTTTAAATTTAGAAAGCTGAAATGTATTTATTACTTTTCAGAGACAGCTGCAGCAGTCAGATTGCCAGAATACAATGATGAAGAAAGTATTTGATACTTACCTATTATTTTTACAAATTAATAATTCTGCAGCAGCTCTCAAACATGTATTTGCTGCTTTGAGATTGTTTGTGAGTAAGGTAAGTCCATGTATGGCTTCTTATTTGTAGGAATCCCTTCTTCTCTTTCATTCTTCTCTGTTGGCTATTGAGAGATAACAGACATTTTCTGAACAGATGACTTGCTGTGAAGGGCAGAGCCATGATTTCTATATCTAAGTTTTAAGATATTTTTAAAAGAAAGTGGAGTTTGGACTGTTTGACTTCTTAGAGGAGATAGTGTAATGTTTTACAGATAATTAAAAGGTTATTATCAGCAAAACTGTATAGATTTGTTCTCTGTTCAAACTGAGGGCAGTACAAGGACCAAGGGATTGAAATTAAAAATGATGAAATTCCAGTTGAAAATTAGGAGGGGTATGAGGAAATAAGAGGTACTAATCAATGGAACAATCTGTATAAAACTACTAAAAAGAGATTTTCAAATAGGGATTTGGTGGCCACTCATGAGAGATGGTTTAATGCAGAGGTCCCCAACCTTTTGGGCACCAGGGACCGGTTCCGTGGAGAAAGGTTTTTCCACAGACCGGAGAATGCATAGTTTTGTATGCTGCCTGCATCCCACAGATGGGGCTTTGCTTGTTTGTGCGGACCGGTTGCTGGCATGCTGTGGCCCAGTACTGGTCCATGGACCAGGGGTTGGGAACCCTGTTTTAATGGATTCCTGTACCTAGCAAGCAGGTGAACTATATGATCTACTGTATAATGTCCCTTACAAGTTATATATTCTAGTTTTAAAGATGTATAGCTTCATCAAGAATGAATTCTCTTGCTGTGTAGCCAGTTTGTAAAAGTGTAAGATTGTGATAACTTCTACTATGAGGAAATGTGCACAAGAAAAGTGTATTGATGCTTTTGTTTTGTTTTTTATAGTTTCCATCAGCATTCTTCCAAGGGCAAGCTGAC